TGCAGAACGCTCTTAACTTGCAGAAACAAGGAAATGAATTATGAAAGTAGAAAAACATTGAGAGAAACAATTCCAGTAGTTGCATTTGAGCAAATCATCCTTTTGACCGGATCTTATTATGTCAAGTTCTCCGACATTATCCTCAAGAGTTTGGAAATTCGTAGACGCTCGTAAAACCTGCCCGCATCCTGATGGCTGAAATTGTTTGCATAGATAATAGATCTGTCTTTTATGAAAACATAAAGCCACATCACCCTCTCGTTACAAAATCTGCCACCATATCCTCCTGGACAGACGCATTTTGAGCAGTCTCGAGGATTTGGAAAACCGCCCATCGCGCATCTCGTATTCGATGATTTGCACCTATCTGGAGCGAAAAATGAAACATACGTGGCTAGACCATTTTGCGCAACGAAATCACCATGGCAATTGTAGTGCGTATTCATCATAAGTAATTCGTAGAAGGAAACGAGATGTGATCCCATCGTGTCATCATAATTCACATCGACTGGCACCATCGTGCGTTGCCCATTGGACGTGAAACTGGAATACCAGTTCCTCTGTTGAATAACTGCAGCAGAAGTGCAAACCTAGTGACTCCGTAATGCATAATGCTGCCGTAATCGTATGGAATTCCATAGTTATCGTTAGTCTTTTTCGTTTGAATTTGGAACTGACTGAGCATACGGGGCTGAATTTGATATCGTAATATTAGCAGAGGGCAGACAATAGAGAAAGTCCACCTATTCCGATGATACCTCAATGTTTCTTGTGTCGATATATATATATGAATTGATCACGATCGTGCCTTGATTGCGTGTGCCACATTCCAAGAGCGTGTCCAATTTCGTGTGCAGCAGTTCCAATCTGTGGAAGTTTTCCATATTCTTTGACTCTTCATAAATTGTGTGTATATCAACCAATAGCTGCAAAAATTCGACCTAATGGTAGACATTGAATGCTTACAAACTCGCATCCTCTGCCCAAGGAAATTGGTTGTACTCTGTGTAGGTTTCCTACAT